TTCCTGCATGTGTCTTCGTTTATGCTGATGAGTAGTGACAAGCATGGCTGTCAAGATGAGTAATTGTTCACCAGTGGGAGTAAATGGTTTGCCATCAACCCTTCAATAAATTTCTCCACACTGGAGAAAAGAATATGTAAAGACGATTTAAGGCACAAGGTAGTGCCTCTTCAAACCAGAGACACGTTGCTGGTAAAGAGTGCCTGGGCCTGGCAGAAGGACGGAGGAGAACCGAGATTTTGGATTCTCTCCTTGCATCCCACTGCATTGCACAACTGAAATGACTTGCATGGAGCCTCTCCTTATAGTTCATAATTTCAAAATGGCAAATGTTAGAGCAAAAACCCATTATGACTTCCGTACTTCATTAATTAGACTAACAAATGATAAGAGAAGCCCCACAGCAGGTTGAATAGCTGCATGTATCCCTGAGCAGTTAACAAGAACAAAAGCACTTGTATGTGCCAACTGGAGTAATCGGTACTTGGAAGTGATTAGCTGAAAAATGTTTTTAACATAGAACTTGTATTGGTGCAAATAGGTATTGACAAACTATTGACTGTTAGCACGTTATCTTGTCCTTCTGGAACTGAGAGGAAATGCTGAAGCAGAAACTTAGAGGGGAAACTACCTAAGGTCACAATTAGGCTTCTTCAGTAATTTTGTTTTTAAATAGGAAATATTCTAGTCATACAAAGTAAAATCTAAGGGTTATCCAAAATCCTGCTTCACACATTTCTGTGTATTTGCTGGACTATGCTCCTATGCCAAAAGAAGAAAACATTGCAAATCCCATGAGGATCAATAGTAAGGGGATATTAACAGAAAGTCATATTTGTTTAAACTCGTATAAGAAAATATTGCACCTTTGAACAGTGTGTGAAAATATTTCTTGCCTTAACTTCAAATATTACTTAAGGTATCAATTTGAAACATCAACCAGGTAGTTGCAAACGATGTGCATCACTATGGGGATAATGAAAACAATGCACCCAAATTATATTTGGTGTTGTCCAAACATTAAAGAAACATCTTCCCCTCCCAAAACTTTACAGGCTCAAAAGCGAAGGACAAGGGATCTTTCTGACAAGAAGTGGATCTGGGTAACACTGGTCCAAGCAGTGTTAGCTGCCAATTTTCAATGCCACCGTCACTGAAGGCCTTTTTTCCCCTAGTGTGGTTCACGCTCAACACCTGGTAAATACATTTCACATTGATTATAAGGGCACTCATTTCTGTTTACTTCTCCTAGAAATGCACACATCTTACCTTCATTTTTGAAGCTCCTAATAATATTCGCAGATGGCATAGATGTCCTATCAGTGGCAAACCTGTTGTACAGCTCTAGCATGTACTCTGGCGGATCCACCTTGGCCGTTTCATGCAGGGGAATGTCAGAAAGGTTCAATGTCTTCAAAAACTCATTTTTCATATTCTGAAGCAGCGTGTTGAAGTCAACACCATCCTGCTCGGAGAGAATCTCGTCAAAAAGAGGCACGTCTTCCTCCAAGGAAGAGTGCTCCAAGCTCAGGATAGGACTGCAAGCAGCAAGGTGAACCAAGAGAGAGAGGACAGCCCACAGCTGGAGGACTACAGAATCCATGACTTCGCTCTAGCCTCCAACCGCACTCAACAAGCTCTAGCTCTCGTGTGGGCTAAGTGGAGGTTTTATCCCCTGGGTTGTACGCGGCTTGTGTCACAGAGAGATGACAAGTTTGGAAGCTCTTGTCTTGAAACTTGTGATCCGCACTGTCTGTCTTCCCCTTCCCCCTCCCCAAAACCAGGTCTCGGTAATTGGATATGGCTTGTTCTCTTCTATGGTCGCCTTGCCTCTCTTATCTCGTGTAGTGTAAGCTGTTCACCAGATTTGTTGCTATCTCGCAATCCCCTTTCCCTTAATGAGCGTTTTGTAAACATTCTGCACTAGGACACTCGGAGATAGGACAAGTTTCTCCTCAGAGAGGAACTGCCCTTTCTTTTTGCCTCTTGGCAGCTGGCTTCCTTTGCCGTGTGTGAACAACTTCCATCCACACAGATTTCAAGCTAAATGTAAATTATACAAAGCCTTTATCCAAAACTATCCATTTCACACCAAGGCCAAAGAAAGCTCCCCTAAAGCAACAACTCTGCCCTTGTCAGAACTATTTTAGAGCTAAGTCTTTACATTACACTTACAAGGGAACTTCTTTAGGAAAAGGTCCGCACAGCATGGGAGAAGAGCTCTAGGTACTACCACAATATTGGAGTCACACAGCCCTGAATGCGGAGGAGCAGATGAGCTCAAAATGAGTGAGCAGAATCTCTCACATTGCAAGCACATAAACTGTGCTTTGCAAGGTCTCCTCTGGAAAGAGCCCTTTGAAGAGTGATCGAGTGCAAGCCAGAGAGCGTGGCCTGTAGAGCGGGGCCTCAATTTTTTTAATGCAGGCACCATACACCTGCATTGGCACCACAAAGTTTATGATAGAGGAGGTTTTATTTTTTTCCTC